GATATTTTTTTCAGTTAGATTTCGACCCATGGTCCTCCTCAGGAATATAAGGAAAAATGAATTTCATTAAAACCACCATTTAAATATCTATACACCTATAATTTGTTTTTCAAATAACATTTTACAAGTCCAGAACTACTTTTCCACTGACCAAACGTTTTTCTGATAGAATTCATTTTTCCTTATATCCCTGAGGGAGACCATGGGTGAAAATTCGGCAGAAAAAAATGCCGCAGAAACAATTTGAAATACGCATAATTGAACTGAGGTTTTTGTGCTGATTTCAAATATGGTGTTTTTAAAAACCTAGTTCGTTCTACTCGAAAACCATCGAATACTAACCCAAAATGACTTTCAAGTATAGTAGGTATAGCATAAGCACTTTACTAGACATTGAATTTCAAGTTGAAAATGGTGTCATCAGAAAGAGAAAGTTGAATTGCGTATCTGGTAAAAAAATCTCCTGGTGCACCCGTATAAAATGTAAGTTTAAAAAGCCGAAATAATCATTATTTGCAACCATATGACCCAATCGAGGCGGTATTTGCCAATTATCGGTTGAAAAGGTTTGAATACTTAGGACCTTCTTATAGGTTCTGGTAGAGAAAAACTTCTACGCGAATGAGCCTATTTTTCTTGGATTCCAATGGAACTTTGATGAACTTGCAGGTCAAAAACTGGTTTTTAGGGATTCCAGAAAGTGCTTCAGATGTTTCTTTTTATCAGACGAATTTTGAAAATAAGTGTGATGATCGAAATCAGCATGCTGAGTTCAATCGAAACGGAAGTGCCTCTACAAAAACGAAGATACAAGTTTTTTTTTGATCCCTGAGGGAGCCAAAGTATGAATGCTGATTCTCAGAATAATAAAATTGGGTTCAGACTTTTCAGACGCATATTCCGTAGTATGACACATCTCCTTTATTAGATCACGCAGATTTCCTCTAACTGGAGTAGATTCAAACTTTTTGAAATCTCTCAAAATCTTTCGAAATCTTTTGAAATCTTTCAAAATCTTTGAAATCTTTCAAAATCTTTCAAAATCTTTCAAAATCTTTTGAAATCTTTCAAAATCTTTTAAAATCTTTTAAAATCTTAAAATCTTAAAATCTGCTTTTTCCCCCTTGTATTATTGCCATTTGACATATTATAGATTTTGAAAACATGAATATGAGAACTAATTTGTAATGACATAATTTATCGATCAATGCATTCACCTAATAGAAGAGAGATATACTACAACGATGATATAATAATAGAATGATAAATTGTACTAGATATAACTAAATTTAAAGTTAGCAATCTATCAAGTATGTGTAATGAAAAGAGTAGCAAAAGAAAAAATTCAACAAAATGTAGCCTAGAACATCTACTATAAAATTAAGAGTTTTCTATAATGAAAAACAATTAATAATAGAACTTTGAAAGAGTATATTACCACATCTTATGAATGGGCACTAAGACGGTGTCCTACTATTTATCATTCTTAGTTTACCACAAAAAGAGCATAAGTTTAGTCGGACGGCATTAAAAATTGACTCAGATTTTTTAGATTCATCTACAAGAAATTTTAACCGCTAACATGATCAAATCACCATCGCGCAGTGCACGTCTTTGGTGTCTATTATATTGCAAAATGTTCTTTGAAAATTTTGATCTTACCCCTAATGGGTCATAATTAATTTTGTTAAGTAAAATAAATTTACAAAAAGAAGAACAAACCATATTCAATAATAATCTACCAAAAATATGGTTAACTATTGTGTTTCTTTTATCTTTCTCGTATATGCAAACAACAAAACAGACAGCAACAACCATGTTGATGTTTCAGACAAACACACACATAAGAATGAAAAGACAAACATACCCTTAGAAGAGCCAAGCGAATGAGATGCTTAACGGTGATAATAAGGACCAAAATAATTGTGCGAAAGAGCACGATGTGCATCTTCATTAAATAATATAAAGAAATAGCAGAAAAGAAGAAAAAAACAAGAAACAATGTATACACCAAACAAACAAATACACACATACACATGTTTACCAATAAGGAAAAATATTGGTTCAAAAAGAGAATTCTATGTATGACATGATAATCTAAAAATAACGATGGATATCATCATCATTATTTTTTTTCTAATAGATCTCCTTAAATATTTATATATATATATTAATTGTTATTTGTCGAATGTGTTGATAAGCAAAAATCTTGAGCATTAGGATCGAGATTGAATGTAGCATTTTGTAATGGTAATGGCAGTGGTGTTATAGCTGTTGGAGGTGAATAAAAAACCGATGATGAACTCGTTGTTAGATTATTTGTATCAATCAATTGGTTTGTTGATGATGAATGTCCAGATGTTTGAGGATGATCATTAAATAAACAATTATTTACTTGATGTTGGGAATGAAGTGCAGCAATTAATTCGCGCTCTTTTCTCGAATAGCATCTGAAGAAATTTTAAAAAAATCTTTGTTAGTTTTGTAAAAGTTTTAGCAATACAAACTATTGGCTATTGTAAGTTGTCGTTTAACTTCACCAAATGCAGAAAATTGATCAAGTTTAATTCGTGTTTCAGCACTAAGACTATCTTGTAAATGACCATTTCGTTTTTGTAATTGTGTTAAATGTTGATAGAGTACTTCTGTGTCAATTTGAGATTCTCGATATTTTAAAAGAGTCTAAAAATCATTTTAATCAATATTTATTCAATAACATAAAAATTTAAATGCATTTTGTTGTTATATTTCAAAAACAAATGGTTTCATTTCATATTCTCATAGATTAATACGTATTTGAGGAATGAGAGTTCTTTATTACAGCGTCTGATGATGAATTATGTTATAGAACAAACTGAACATTAAAAACTTAAGCATAGTTTTATGACAAATCAATCGATATGTTTTTTATTAAAACTCATTATAATCAGAAGGATTAATCGCTTGAGGACAAGAAACCCATCTTTAGATAACGATTATGGATTAGTTCGTAACTAATTTATGTTGTTGATGGTACCATCCAGACATTCTTTCGTCAGTTTTGGTTCATTGTCCTTAATAATGTCAAGGATTACCATTAACATTAGAGAAAAATCGAGAATGATGACTGGCTTTATACTTTGAGAAGCGTGTAGTAACGAAAATTCGTTTAGTATTGCATAGTCATACATACTTGCATTTGTAGATGGCCATATAGTATCTCGTGATTCAGAAAGGGTGTGTCCATGATATATAGACAACCTTTCTGTTTACTCAAGAAATTTTCGAAAGAACATTGAATAAAAAGGGTACACTCAGCAAAACAAAATATTTGTTTCGTTAATGAGTCTTTTGAAACTTTTGACTGCATAAATGAAATCACAATGTTCTATTGAAACTGCTACTACTGACATTGTATCTGTCCCTTTTGATATAATTTGATTCTAGTATCTATACAATTCCATCATTGATCTTTTTTGATTGTGTACAATTGTCTCATGGCAGAGAAATACTTTGACGCCATTTTGAGATACACAATTTAAATGAACGATTTCAAGTTAGTCTAAAAACTGCTCATTCTATCTATGAAATGAATCTATCATAAACTTCTTCCCACAATAGCAGATCCAGTGTCTCATTTATTTTCATAATTTTTAATTAACAAAGTTTTTCAAAAAGTCAAAACGATTTTGAAGATTTCGGAAGAGATTTTCAAGATTTCAGAAGCAAAAAAAGGATGTCGGCCAGAGTCTTTCAACGATGTTTTAGCTCAAAATCATTAAAATTAGGCATATTCTAATGGAAAATATTGAATGAGTGATAATTATGTGAGAAATTAATTAATTCAACGGAGTCTTATTTTACGAGGAAGAATTTAGTTCGAAAAATATTGATATATCTTAATTTCATTGTCAAGTAAGTTGATATGATCGTCTTTGTCATTAAGTTATTTACGCATTTTTCGTGTTTCACTCTCTTGATCTCGTCTTCGTTTGATACATTGTTCTGTACATTCACTTCTCAATAATAAATTTAAATAAAATATCAAAATAAAATCAATAATATTACAAATGTTGGTAATATTAAATTTAATTATGCCAAATCATCTTGAAGTTTTTTTGTCAATGTTTTTTCTGTTTTTATTTGTGATTCTTAATCGTTGTTTAGTTTGTTTTTCTTCATTGACATTTTTTTCAAGATCAGCTATACGTTGTTTATCACGATTTCTTTGAGTATTAATTGATTTATATCTAAATCAGATATAATAAATAATAGAAAATCTTTTTTTTTATATACAAAAAATTAAATGTAATATACTTTGCTTGTAATGTTGAATTGTCTGCATGCAAATTCTCAAGATCTTTGCGGATATTTTTCAAATCGGATAATTGTGTACGTAATTGCATTTTGGAATATTTTTTGTTTTTTCAATTGATTGATTTAGTCATTGACTATCATCTTCAAGTTTATTTATTTGAAGACTAGAAATAAAATAAAAATATTAAATAATGATTTTAAACAAGTGAATCTTTATTAGATAGTAAAGTTTAATTTTGAGAGTTTTGTACTGATTATATAATTTACTATTTTAATTCTACTTAGACTTTGAAATAGTATTTTCGAAAATGAATAGTTTACACTTTCATTTAATTTTTTTTGGAACATGTGTACTCATTGTTTTCTTAATATTTTTTGTGAATTTTGAATCTGTAATAGTTTGTATTCTATTCATTAATATCTATTTGCCTTGAAAGATTAAAAAGTCCTAGAAAAGAAACGAAGATCTTGTTATCTTTTCTTCAAAACTATCACTAATTAATTGAAACAACAATTTAACTTTCCGTATAACAGATGCTCAATCTATTGAATGTAGTTTCATTTAATATAAAAGAAACAAGTTGTGTTTAATGTTATAAATTAAAGTAAGTCATCGAAAATTGATCAATGATTTGATCTATTCGAGTAAATACGATACGAATCATATAATGAATCAAATAGAAAACAGTATGATCTCATGTAGATATTTGTAGATCATAACAGACACTAGTTTTTGACATGGATCAACCTTTCGAGATCTGATCCGAGCATAACTGAACTTCATTCGAGGTCAAAGATAATTTTTGGCTAATCAAAGCAATTTTTTTGCAGAGATTAAACATAGTTTCTGGTGAATCTAAACGAGCTTTCTCTCTACCTTGACAAAAAATGAAATCATTATCTCAGCAAGAATTGCTTTTTGTCTTGTGTGAAGTTCGACATCGATCAACGAAACTTTTTAGTCTGATTCTTATAGTCGTTCCGAAGTTGCGAGATACTTTTTTATCAATTGTTTCTATTGTGGTGATGACATACGTTAAGCATTTCGTAGACAATCTAGTCAAGAATCTCATAATAATCAAGTTAGAATTAGCTTTTTATTTTTAGAGTATGACCTGTTAGGTCGGTAACAGGGATCAACCTGATGGACTAGATCCGGCTCGAGCTGGACACTTCTATTTTGCTACAGTGAAGAACAAATATGTACGTCATTCTTCAGGAGCATTTATGAATCATATCAAATAGCTCACAAACTTTCAATAGACTTGGGTGAAATCTAACTAGCTCCAGTAAAAGTACTACTATTGTCTTTTAAATTTTAAACTCTCAGGCATCTTTTGATAGTGACTGTCTTCTGTTCTAAGTGTTTATTGGTGACAACAAGAACTTTTATATCACTGCATCGTCACTGATACTATTAGAGAAAAAATCTCTACTCTAGTCATTCGGGATTATCCTATTGTGAAACTTCTTGTTTCTTTTTTTTTGTTAGTAAATTTACTTTTTTCGATATCTGAATTTTCCATTGATATATTTGTTGCAAATCTGTTATTATATGATGAAGATGAATCTCTTGATGTAGCACGCATATGTTCTCTTTCTTGTTTCTTTTGTTGTCTTCAACTTGGTGTATTAGAAGATTTGATTAACTGCTTTTTCTATTGTTTATATGTCGATGATGAATCATCATCATTTCCATTTGAAATTTTATTATTACGTGTTGTTGTCTGCACAAGTGAATTCCTAGATAATAAATCATCATTCTTATTTAGTTTTTGTGAACGTTTTGATACTGTACAAGGTAATAATGTTGAATGATTAGTTAAATGTCTTTGAGAATTAATCAATGTTGAACTAATGGCTCGAGGATTTGAATGAGTTATTGATGTCATCGGAGAAGGTGATGGTGATGATGGATAATTTTCATCGATATTTCTTTTAGTTGTGCATTCATCGAAAGTCTCAGTAAAAGTATCTTAAGTAAACAAATTAATAAAATTTTGAAGGATAAACAAAAATTAACGACAAAACCTTCTCTCGACTTAATTTTTCTTTTTCAACTTCTTGTTGAACTTCAATGGGTAAGGCTCAATTAATTAATTGAGCATATAATTCATTTATTTTTCTTACTTCACGTTGTTTTCTCTATTGAAATCAGAACAAATAAAAGTCTAATTTCAATCAATTTTTATCTTCAAATTCTTCTTCCCAATCTCCATTTGTAAGCAAGATAAGTTTTAAAACAATATCCCAATGTCACCATTGGATATCCAATACTAAAAATCGAAAAACAAAAAATAATTCTTAAAAAAAAAAGAGGCAAACACTAGGATGTGCGAGTGGGTAGGTGTGCGGGAGTGGATATGCGGTATGGGTGTGGGATGTGAGTGGATGTGCGGTATGGGTGTGGGATGTGAGTGGACGCGGGTGTGTAGGTGTGGGTATGGTTGTGTGGGTGTGTGGAGTGTGAGTGGACGTGGTGTGTGGGTGCGGATGTGAGGTGTGAGTGTGGAGGGCAGAGAAGAAAAGACTCACACCCACCTACACCCACTCACACCCCACATCCACACCCCACATTCATACACCCACACTCCATACGCACACACCCACATCCACACCCCACATTCATACACCCACACTCCATACGCACACACCCACATCCACACACCCACTCCCACACCCTCACCCACACCCACACCACCCACACCCACACCCACACCCGTACCATCACTATGGTACTTTGTACCATGAAAATGATCACTTATACCATCACTATTTTTTCGTCTTCTCCACAAACTTCACATGGAGAACTCAAATTCAATGAAGCACAAAGGCTTTCTACATTACTTCTGTGTCTTCCATACATGCGCGCGAAAACGATACCATGGTTTACGATAAAAACAGTTCTTGGTCAGTGAACTCGTAATTTGCGTCAAAAAAGCTTTTATTGTGCCATCGAAATGGTCATTTGTGCCATGGAAATGGTCATTTGTACCAAGCGCTTGTTACAGACACACAGACAGACGGACAAACAGACACAGGTGAATTTCAGTTTCTAGACCCTAGCCTTTCAGTCTAGGGAATAATGGACATTTTCAACAACAAACAATCCATGAAAATGAATGGAGTAAAGTATCAAAATTTTGTCTACTATTAATGGTATTAAGTAAAGACTATGGTTTTATTAATCAAAATACCGTGATCATTAAAACATGTATAGACTTTCATAACTCCCAATAAAAAAATTGTGAAAATTTGTATAAAATAGTCTTTTTTTTTGTATGGCTTAATAAAAGAAAAATTCATAGATGTAGAACATTAATTAATATATATAAAAGTAGAAAATGTATTTATGTTGTAATTTTCTTTAGAAATTCTATACAAAAATAGCTAATTTTTAAGAAAGAGACTTGAGTTATTTCAATGAGTGTTATAATTTTACATGTTTTTATTCACTTTAAAAAAAAATTGTCTTATTGTTGAACATGTCTGATTGCACATAGATGCAAAAAAGAGACTTGAGCAAAGCAACGAAATATATCCTAAAATATTTATATGGACTATTGTTCTTATGACTGAAGATGATAGTAAATAAGGGTGTGGATGTGGTGTATGAATGTGCGTCTTGTTTTTATCTACACCCACTCCCCACACCCAACCGCAGGTCGCTAGCTGCTTCTGTTCTCAAGTTATTCCAAAATCAGCCACATCCATTGCTTTTTGATAACGATAGTAGTCAGAGATATGTATGGAGACAACACCGCGGTGAATATAAACCAAAAGAGACAATGAACACTATTTTATTATTAATAAAAAAAAATCATAGCTCCAAATTTTGAGGATAGAAAGACATTGTCTTCTTTTCTGCAATGAAAAGAGTAAAGGCACAGCAGTGCTTTTCTAATTCTGAGAAAACATTTAATATTAAGTATTATTTCAACTTGGAGAAATGAATGGTAATATTTTACTGAGAGAAACTCAAATGTCCTTCTTCGTTATTCAAATAGGGTTTAGCAGGAGTAATCTAATTCTCGCTATTGCCAAAGACTTGATCTTTTTTCAAGTCCCACTGCTTTTAAGAATATTGCATATTTTTATTGTTCATTCAAGACTTTATTTTCTGCAACAAACTTCTTAAAAATTGTTCTGCTTGTTTATATATGCCAGGCGTTGTTTCTTCTCGTGGTCCAGCAATGTTTAATATCTTAATTTTGTGCATGGAAAGCCATTCGATTACTTTAGTTTCGTTTTTAATTTTGTCATCTTGGTTCAGATTGATTATCAACAAAGGTTTTTCGTATTTCTTCGTCATATTTACTGTTAATTTTGAACCACGACCCATTGTATCCTCGTTTCCGACTATAATAATGAGAGTTCCATCTGAATCTCGTACATTGAATTCTGTTCGTTGTGGATAATGATTTGACGATGTTTCTTCTAGATTTGCATATTTAATAGAATCAATAATTCCATCTTCAGCCTTTCTGCCACGAGGGCACCATCCACCATACTTATAATTCAATTCGATAGCCACGTCCAGAGCAGATCGATCAACGCCAGTTTGTCCCCCGCTAACAATTTTTATTGACATTTATCTAAAAGAATTCTTTGCTATGTAGAAAAAAGCCGAAGACATTAGAAGTTTTTATTCTATTCTGAAAGCTCGATTAAATGTATACAAGTTTGAATAAGCAAATCTCTATTACTCATTATCATTCTTTTGCATAGGATCTCCATTGTTGAACGTGTAATAGTCAGATCTGAATTAACCTTTGTAGAGACATTAACCCAAGGGGGAAAAAGCGGATCCTTTCGGATCCTAGGATTTAAAAGAATCCGACAGGATTCACAGGATCCGATAGGATCCAAAAGGATCCATAGAATCCAGAAGGAACCAAATGGATCCGTAGGATCCGAAAGAATCCGATAGGATTTATAGGAATACAATTCCAGGCCAAGCTCGGTATGTCGGAACCGATCGGTTCCGTTGAATTCCGACGATTTCTTTACTACAGGATTCCGATCCAGATTTCGTCGGACCAGTTCCGATCAGTTTCCATCGGTTCCATCGATTTCCGACGAATTCCTGGTCGAGATTTTGTGGAACTTAACGGAATTTTTCCGGCGGAAACTGGGCCGGAATCCTGTAGTCAAGAAATCGTCGGAAGTCAACGGAGCCGACCGAAAACCAACGGAATCTATAGGATCCGCTGCCGGAAAACAAAGGAAAGAAACGGTTCCGGCGATCGGAACAGTGGACCTGGGATACAATGCCAGTGTAAAATCAGAAAATTAATGATTTCTTCATAATAAATTAAAGATATTCGATAACGCCTTCAACAGACCCAGGTTTGTAGCGATTCTTAAAAACTTTCGCCCACGCGTATTTCATAGGTTTCGTTCGAATGTAGCACTTAATGGTAAGTTAGAAAAGAAAGTGAGGACTAAACTTATCATTGCTGTTTATCGGTCATTTTGACTGATGAAATTCTATTAGATCATAAACGACTTTTATGAACGCTCAATAGGGTTGCAGTCCTTTGCTCCTGTGTGAAATGACGTTTGTTGTTAATAAGTTTCAGAATAACTAATGTTCATTTTAGAGACGAATAGGCGAGAATACTATTTGCGTAACCTGAAAATGATATGAGTTAAAGAGCTAAGATTTTACTAATATTTAGTCAGGACTTTGCTCTCTCTTCTTGAAATGTCGATAAAAGTCTTCAATTCTTCTCATGTATTGAATACAGCATGAGTTTTGAAGATGAACTGAATCTAAAATAAGAATAATATGCTTTGTCGATCCAAACATAATGAACATATAGTCGAATTGTGCGTGCATCGACCCATGAAAGATTGGGATAGGTAACTGTTTGTGTTCCAAAAAGAAAAGCATTACACTAAAATTTATTTATCGAGCCTTTTCAAAGCCTGACTGGATAATAAATAAACCTTGCCGTTTCTAACTATTCAGGCGTGTTTGATCCCGTGGCATTACTTATTAACCTTTGTAATTCTTTTAACTGTGAATGTCATCAAAAACTAGATATTTAGTGTGGAGATGCACCAATTCCAATTTTAGTGAATTCCAATGCTTAGGATTAGTTGGACTTGACTGAATTTGCAATTGAAATTGATTGGTGTTGAGTAGAATTGATCTGGAACTGACAAAATTTGACATAGAATTGACTACGATTCGTTCTTAGTCATACTCTTTTGTCCTTATCCCCTGCTATGTAGTGGTGCCCTTAGATTCTCAAACTGTTCTATGGAGCTAAGCTTAAAGCAGGTGATGGATGGAACCATGCTAATACTTGCAATACTGATGCCAAATGGCATTATAGGTATTGAATCGGTAGTGTACAAAGGACGATCACACTTGAAATTTTCTAAAACCGATGATAGATTGGAACTCTTAGATTGTTCAAGGCTTTCATCAAACCTTAAAAAGCTCCTATACTCGATAAAAAGCCTTTCCTTGACAAAAAAATGAAGAATTGAAAATCAATCTCTCAAAATTTTTCGATTTTTGAGTTTTTTCATCTGGGAAAGGACCTTTTTCGAATATAAGGATTTTTTATAAAGTACAATCGAAGTATTGCGGGTTAGAGAAATCCCAATCTATCATCAGTTCTTTCAAATTTTCAAGTTTGATTTTCTAGTGCAAAGTAACTACTCAATGCCATCGATGCCACTTAGTATTGGTATTGAAGTTTAAGATGATTACATCCTCTTCTGACCTAATGCTACTTTCATATAGTAGGAGATAAGGACCTGAAGCTACCTTCTTTCAATATTCTTGAGGATCTCAAGATACTTTCATATAACAGGACTTGAGTACCTAAAAATACCTTCATATAATAGGAGATAAGGACCGAAAGGTGTGACTAACAACTAATCGTAGGCAATTTCAGACCAGATGTTGTTAGTTCCAGAACAATCCTGGTCAATTTCAATTCAAAGAATTCGGATTGACTGGAATTGGAATTGATGCATCTCTATAACTTGGGATCTGGCAGGAAATCGCCGGAACTGGAAGCAGTAATCCGACTGGAAAGTTTTTCGGATTTTTTCAATGAATTCCAACCGTTTCCTGCTGGAAGGCACAAGGTTGTGACTGCAATCCACTGAAACAAGTCCAGCAAATCTCCAATGGGAATACTGCTTCCACTTTCGACGATTTTCGATGCTTTCCTGCAGGAATCAGCCCGCCTTTTTCGACCCGTGAGTGAGAAAAATAATAGCAGAAGTTGTTAAGAGCTCATACTGTACGAGCCAGTGTGACATTAGAAACTAATTGGAGTGACTAATGAGGGTCTTGACTAATAAATAAGATCCTGAGAATGTCAAAAAGTTTTTATAAGGTCCTAGTAGGATCTAACAGGGTCCGAAAGGATCCAGTAGAATCCAAAAGGATCCATAGGAACCAAAAGGATCTATAGGACCCACAGGATCTATAGGATCCACAGGATCTATAGGATCCACAGGATCCATAGAATCCATAGGATCCGAGGATCCAGGATCCGCTTTTTCCCCCTTGCATTAACCAAATATATATTCGAATGTCATTAATTTGTTTCATATATTCTTTATTTAATTCTTTGATTTGTAGAACACCTCAATTTTGCTCAAGTCTTTATTCAAATGAATTTTTAATCAGACCAATCATTTGACATTGTAAAATGTACTTCAATAGAATCACTAATGACATCATATTTAATTGTTGGATCATGTATTACCGCAGGTTTTTCATCTTTTGATTAGAAATAATTAGCAGCACATGTTAAAATGAAGAAGAAAAGGAAAATTGCAAGAGGAGAGTACAGAGTTCATTTTTACCATCACAAAATTTAGTCCACTTGCTCAACTTAACCACTTATTACTATCGTGATGGCCATTTTATTGGCCATCTGATAAGAACCAATGAAAAAATTAGTATAGAGGGTGTAGAGTATCAGTAGAACATTTTCGCAGATCATTGAGAGAGAGTTCTTGAAGGAGCCGAGGATTGGAGTAATGACGTCACTAGAGTGGGACCGGGAGAAAGTGAGCTCCACCATCGGGCTTTTCCGCCTCATCACTCACAGTTTCACTTTATCCATCGAACGCGTGAATAAAAAATAAACGATAAAAGCTTTTCGAATAATTTGGTTTGAATTTTGATTTATTGAAGGTCTATATGCAACTTGAGATTGAAAGTAAATCGCTTCCTACAATAGAAGAACTTTCTATACTAGATGGCGCGTTCGAGGAAATGAAGCCTTGCACAAGATAGAAGAGCTTTCAATTAAATCGTTTCTCGACAAATCCAAACTTTAGTTTAGATATTTACATTAAATTATGCAGCTCTAAGGACTTTGAGCTGAAAATTTAAAAACACTAACTAATTAGTACTATTTATTGCTTCTAAAAGAATATAAATCATTTTTTGAGTCTGCAAAATCGTCTTAGATATTTTTGAAATGTTTTTAATAGCACTTATGAAGATCTATTGACCACAGTAAGATGCATTTCATAAAACTTTGTACGTTTAGATAAGATGAAAGACCCCGAGTAATCTATTTCGAAAGATATTCCATAGGGAGTCATCTTTTTGCTGATGAAAGAAGTAGATATTAAAAGCTTTATTTACTACTTTATGTTATCCTTCGTGATTTACACATTCGTAGATAAGACTATGGATAATTTGAAATATTTTAAGAATATATACATGAATTTTCTCAAGACTTGTCCATAAAAAAACACCCTCAAGAAATCGAAATGAACATAAAATTCACTATTTTGCATATCATATCATGAGAAATCATTACCATTTTATTAAACCCGTTCTCTGATCGTCAAAATTAGTGTCTGCAAAGAGATGGAGCAATATCAGGTATTGACGAATGATACAAAAAAATTCAACTTGTTTTCTACATAATGAATAGTGACTTTCTAACTCATCGAACTTAAATTTCTTTGATTAATCTATTTAAAATAATGTCAATAAAACCATATATTGTCTAAAGATCAAAACAGGAAAACATTTCAAGAAGGAAAGAAAAAGAAACGTGCCAAAAGATTAATGTGAGTCATGTTCTCAAAGGGATTAAATCTTTTCTTTAATGAGTTCGTTCGGTTGAACAACATAATGGTGATCAGATTTTTCATTTCAATAGTTTTTGAAAAGCAAATGATATCATCACGAAAATATTTTGTTTAACATACGAAGGCTTCTTTTAATGTTTTTTTTTTCAATTTTACTTCTCTCACAATCATGGGAAATTTCACCATCACACAGTGCTTCTTTTTTAGCCATATAAAATCATCATCAAACTAACTCAATAGAGGTTTCTCATTACCATTCTTGTAGAGATTTTTCCGCCTATTCTTTTAGAACAAAAATCAACATTATATGATTTACCTATGCTGAGATATTATCAAAATACTAACTGTCGCGATCATTGTGACTCATCCAGTATGTTCATTATTCAGATAGTCGATTTGTCTGTCGTTAAGTTTAAGTTTTTCATTTTCGATTGGATCTTGATAATTCTCTTATTTATTTGAAGTAAAAAGAAAATTTCTTTCGTTCATTTGAAATTTGGTCGGATTTACAGTGAAAAGAAGGGTGGATGTGGGTGTGAGTTCAAGTAACATCTACACTGACACCTGCACTCACACCCCTAGGGTTACCAAATAGGCTACTTTTGACCCTTGTCAGATCCTTATCTCACCCAAACATCATGATAGAGGGCTGAAAATTTAACCATAGCCTCTCCATACCAGACCTAACATATCCTGCAAGTTTCATATAATTTAAACGTTCCTGGGCTAAGATCAACTTTGGGGGGGGGGGGGGGGCGCCTTACGGTTTCTTCGATTAATAATGAAGGGAAAATAAGTATCATCAATTCAATCAAAAAGAGCAAGTTATTGAATTCAAAATTTTATTTTTTTTTTGCACAATCGATTAACAAGAAATTGAACAACACTTAAAAATGTGTTTCTATATTTTTATTAGAATACTCGAGCTACTCTCTGATGATTACATTTTAGTTACTTCTGTATATAATTCAAAAACCGTCTTAGATATAAAACTTGATATTGGCTTTGTAATACATAATTTACTCGTCGAAAATCTCTAATATGAATTATTATTTCAATAGAATAGAATAATAGAAATAATTCATTCTAATTTCAACAAAATTTTAGTCTAGAGACGGTAGAAATTTTTAAATTTTATTTCATACTTTAAAAACAATGTTTCGTTAAACAACAGTATTTGTCGATATTACTTTAGTCAGCCGGCAGAACGAAAAAAATATGCTTATTTAAGTGAATCAATATCAAATGCGCTATGTACGACTTTTTCGCGAAAAAATAAAATAGGCCGATTTTTTAATCTATACTAGTCGATAGAGAAAAGTTTTCTCTATCGAACTGTGTTTTTAGTTTTTTCCGAAAAAATATTGATACCGAAAATAATTGACACAAACTGACCAATCAAACTACATTAACACTCATGTTTTGATAATGAATCGATGATTCATTGGCATTTGTCGGTAGACTACTTAGGCAGAAACTACTGGAAAAAAATAAAGCTGAATTACGGAATTTTTATTGGTATTCCTACCTAGTAATATGAATTCTATTGGCTAATTGAGCTTTAATTGAGGTAATCTGTATTGGACCCTAATTATTCGTGTTTCCATTGGTCATCAGACAGGTCATTATCTTCACGATACTTTGTTTGTTTATCTTCAAACTATAACGAATGGAGTGCAGTTATTTCTTCATTCATATGTTAAATAATTAGATGCAGATCAAGTAGTGATAATAAGAAAAATTTTTCAATTTGAAGTAAGTGTTTTTTTTTGTGTGTATCAGAGGTGAGCTGTAATCTTTTATTCACCAAAACGAAACTACCAACTATTATAATAGATTCATTTCTACAAAAAATTAACCGAATTTAAATTTTGAAAGATACCGATGACTGTATTAGCAAAAGAATCGGACGTTTACTCAGTCCCCACAATCGTCAAGATTGACAACATTTTGTTCTACAATGATGGTATTAAATCTGCTTTTGATGATTTAGCACTGAAAACTCTTTGTTCAGAAGTCAAAAATGAGAGTCATAATCACGATCTATAAATTTATCCTCTTTTAGTTACAAGGATTTTTCTCGAGTAAACGTGCGAATATATTTGAAATTAAAAAAAAGAGCATATACTTTTTTTGGTATTAAAGAATTGCAATATTTTTGACTGTCTTCTGAAAAATTTTATACGACTTGAATATGATCAATGAAGTAATTCGAATTCCTTAAAAGAATTCCGGTGTGTAGGTGTGAATTAAGAGTAAAACTGGATCTATCCGTTATTCGATTTGGAACTTGCCTAAGTAATAAGTTACAAATATGAAAGTGCTAAGTTTAATTATGCAGTTGTCTATGCAAACTACAATTTTTAGATTTGAAGATGAAATTAAAAGTAACTTAATCTCAACTAAAGGACTCATACACAACCAATAACACATAAGATCAGTATTGTAAAATATCTTCTAGATTTAGTTGGCGATTTTTATTGGAAATTAAATTTTGAAATCAATGAATTACTTTCGAATCCAAGTTATCCATTTGTACTTCTAAATTTGTTATGTCAGAAGATGTCTCTCCGAATGTAAGGACGTCCTCTGTTCTTTTATATCATCGGTGTATATCAATACCATTCGTACTCCTTTTCTCAATGGCACTTCCATAATGGATAAAGAAAGAGAATCACGTTCTTTGTTGGTGTTTTTTTTTAAGTAGAAGAAAGAACAACAATAATAAAATAAGAAGGAGGTGAGAGAAGGGTCTCAAAAGCAACACTCACACCCAATCTAGAGAGCTGCATCTTTTTAATCAGAATAAGTACTTACTGAGATATGTCTATGTACAAAATATCCTAAAACGAGTATGTTCTAAAATATTTAATAATGCTGAGGAAGTTATAAACATTTTCCTCGTTTTCAGAGCTGGGCAACTCAATTCAAAAAACGGCCAACTCAACTCAATTCAATTCAATTCATGAACCTAGTTGAATTGAGTTGACAAAAATTTTTCAGGGTCTACTAGTTGAATTGAATTGAGTTGAAACATTTTTCAAAGATATACTAATTGCTTTGAATTGAATTGGACAAAACTTTCAAACATCTATGAATTGAATTGAATTGAGTTGGAAAAAGATATCCTGAGATCACTGAATCGAATTGAGTTGAATTGAAAAAATTTTCAGAGCCTACTGAATTGAATTGAATTGAATTGAAAAAAATCTCGAGGTCACTGAATCGAATTGAGTTGAATTGAATATCTTTTTTGGAGATGAGTGAATTGAATTGAATTGAGTTGAAAAAAAAACTTCGGAGATCACTGAATTGAATCGAGTTGAATTGAAGCATTTTTCTCGAGATTTGCAAATTCATTTCAATTCAATTCAACTCAAAGATATTTCTGAAACTGTTGTTATATGATCAATTTACGCATTAAAACTAATGAAAGATCAAGGTATGAACTATGATCTATTTTTGTAATTTTTCTTCCGAGCTTCTATTTCAACATAGCTGCATTATACTTGCATTTTGATGTATATTTCTGATGCGCATCAGTCAACTTATTACTATTTTCTTTTCTTTTCTGATGGTTACGTATAATTTAAGCACCTAAGCTCTCAACGTATCGATTTGTTTTCCTATTCTTTCAAGTGACAGATACAATGTCCATTTATCCTTGTCTTATAGGGCAATATCATGCAAATCATTTGTTTGTTGACTGGTATGTTATCTATTGGGAACGCATACCTCTTATACTGTATACCTCTTTTGTTCATTATTGTTTGATTCAGTTATGACCTTCTCTTGTAGTCTGGCAATATTGTTGAATAAATAGTCCAAATCGTTCTACAGTAGATAACTCTAGTTAAAGTCAGACGTGAAGGAAACGAAATACCGAGGTGAGTTGAATTCAATTCAATTCAATTCAGTAATAGAGTTGAATTGAATTGAGTTGAAAAAAAGTTCGTGTTCGATGAGTTGAATTGAATTGAATTCAGAAAAAACTTTCGAAGTCATTGAATTGAGTGGAATTGAGTTGGAAACAATTTTCAAGATACATGAATTGAGTTGAATTGAATTGGAAAAGTTTTTCAGGATACATGAATTGAGTTTTAATAAAACTGTCAATCAGCATGAATTGAGTTGAATTGAATTGAAATATTTTTCCAAGATGTATGAATTGAATCGAATTGAATTGGAATATTTTTTCCAAGATGCATGAATTGAATTGAGTTGAGTTGAGAAAAAATTTATAGTATCTATGAGTTGAATTGAATTGAGTTGAAGTTTTCTTTCAATGAATTGAATTGAATTGACCACCATTTTGAGTTGAGTTGCCCAGCTCTGCTCGTTTTAATTCTTGTTTTGTAGATATTTCAATCTTAGACGTAAAAAAATAATAAAGATTGCAAGGCAAACTGTTATACTTGTAGTGAAGTATAAACGTGAGATAAAATTGCAAAAATGCGTGCTTTTTATGGTCGTAGTATGTCGAAAAAAATACAAATATCTCGTGCAATGAACAATAAGTTTTCAGTCGAGTAACATCCAAAAATCATGAAACTTTTCTCCAAAACCTCCCAAATTGAGTCATGAGTTATATAAAATAGTGCATATATACTAAAAACAATGACTCGTTTTTTCTTTTGCTTAATTTTTCATTTTGTTGCATTGAAAAGGATGTAAAATTGTAGCACACTAGGCGTCCATGCACGTTCTACTTGCTTGATAAGAAAATATTAGAGTAAAATTTTATGTTCAATCACATGAATTTGAAATGAAATATTCCCTTTTTATATTTAAATACAACGAAAATACATCTTAATATTTCTTGCACACACGTCGATAACTATTTATTACATTTGATAATTCAAGCAACCAGTGTATTATTTATGGTTGTTAACGATTATGACCAAAAAAAAAATGTGATTTATACCGACGTGTACTTAAGAATGGGTGACGGTAAGGATAAATCTAACGAAATAGAACAAAACGAGGAGTATATTATTGGAAAGTTACGCGAACAATGTAAGAGTTTTTGTAAGGAACGAATAATTAAACTGCTTCATAGCGGGTATCAAATAGATAAAGCATTTCATTTAAAGATACTTACCGAGATAAAGTATATCGCACGTAAGCATGGTCTGTCAGAAGTAAATTGGGGGGAAAATCTATCAAAATTTAATCGCTGATAATATTGATGATCAGACTAAACTATTGCTTGCTCAGACAATTAAATATTCGATTAAAAATAAAAATGTTGATTTTACAGTTGAAGAACTTCTTAGAGTCTTACAAAAAAGTAATGATGGAAAAGTAAAATCCGAGATTATTTGGGCATTGAGTTATCAACTTAATAATGCTTTTACTAAATATTCTAAAACTGTAATAGACGAAAATTTCATCCATGAAGTCAATAGTATTATAGGGTGTAGGTGTGGGTGGATGTGGGTGTGGGTGGGGTGTAGGTGTGTGGGTGTGGGTGTGGGTACGGATGAAAAAAAGACCCACACCCACCCCAACCCACACCCACACACCCTTATGACGTTGCAAATTGATAAGTTCTTCGGAAAATTCCGTTGGCTTACAATTAACCGAAATCAGTTTATCAATAAATTCTGTACATCTTTCAATTGATTCAGGTTTATCTTTGTCGTATTTCGGAGCATTTTTTAACCATACTAGAGCATGAATATGTGGTGAACCACGGACTTGGAATTCAACTCTGACATATTTATCTTCTAATTCATAGCCTTGAAATGGACTATAAGGAGCCGATAATATTTCCCATAAACATTTTAATCTATGTTCAAAATAACGAATGCATGTTACAGGATCATTTCTTATCAAATCAAATTTCTTTTCATAGCTCATATTTTCTGCTTCCTCTAATGTTATTACTTTATTTTCCAACACTTGAGTCAATATTACAATTAGTTCTGACCATTTTGTCTCTGCTGCCGATAATGTTAGAAAAATGGTTGCACATCCTAACTGCCTAATCATTGCCATAACTTCTTTTTTTTAGTTCCCAGAATGCTGGTGAAGATCGATCACATCTCAAGAATGCAAAAGCATCATTATTGTGTATTAGACCATTCACATAATCTCAATTGAGCATTTGCGCAACTGTTACATTGCTCGTATCTTTTTGTTTTTCTCAAATTTATTGAAACAGCGTCACAAAACTTTCTTGTTTGGAGTTTCTTATATGTAAAAAATAGTTTCGATACTCTACAACATCTTCGATCAAACATTCGTAGCTCTGACTTAGCAGTTTTAGCATAAGTTAATTTAGTATTTTCTTTAATTTTTCGTTGTTTTCCACAATAAATTTTCGGAAATGTCAACTCGTCAACTTTCAAGTCCATCAAAATAGATATCGGTCTGTTATTCTCGGCTGGAGCAAATTTAATACCGGTATCATTTTGATCGGCAATTTCATCATTTAATAATGTTTCAGTAGCTCCTGGATTGATTGGCTCGTCGTCGCACTCATTCCAGTTGTCATCATCGTCAGAACCTTTTGTGTTTTCATTCTCATTAATTTTTTTATCTTCATCATTAACGATAAAATTTTCTCTTTCACTGAAGTGCTGATTTAGCCAATCATTAGATATAACAATCCCTTCATCTTTATAAAGTTCTTGTTCAACAAGATATTTAACAGCTGTATGTACGACTTTTGGTCGAATTGTTTCGTACATAAAAGCATTTTTATTTTTCATTTGTCTCATGAGTTTTAACTGAATTGTTTGAGTATCACTAAAAGTTCTGGGTAAGATTGAAACGTTTGTGTCAACATTCATCGGAACATTTACAAGGTTACCTTTGAGATCAAATTGTTTAGAATAACCTAAACTTCGAATTACCATAAAAGGAATTCTCGGTGATATTAATCTTTCTTCTAATTCAGTTAAGGTTTTTAAACAATCCGGTATTTCATAGAATGCTAAACCATTAGATAGACAGAGATTAGGTACTTTATTCAACATGATGTCCTTTCTGCATGTGACACATAATTTGATGATTGTATTTTTGAGATAACAAACTGTATCGATAAATTCTTTTTTTAATCCATTATTTGTTAATATCTCAACTGTAAATTCTCAAATTGAATACTCAAACCATAAACCACCACAACTGCTACAAATATGAGTAGGTCCTTCTTTTATTTTTAACTCATAATTTGATTTCATGACATCAAAGTTATTTTTGTATTTATCTCTATTATTCTGCATTCTCAATGCATTTCTTCTTCTTTCTTCCTCTTTGTATTCTTCCTCTTCACGTTTAATTTTCAGAGTTTCTGCTCTTCTTTTATTATCTTTTGTTTTGAATCCATCATTTTGTCGTTCAATTTCATGAGAATTTGCTCGTCTTCTATTGTCTAACAAGCGAAAATCATCATCAGTTCTTCTTTCTCTCATTCTCCTAGCCATCTCGGCATTTCTTTGAGATGTAGATCTTCCTTTTAGTTTCGGCATTCTTTACAATCAGTTCATAAAAGATACTTTAGATAAGACTGATTTTTTCGAACTATGAATAATGAAATCCGATGTGATTAAAATAGCCTTTAAAATCTCATATAATCACAATTTCTTATTCAAATCAAACACGTAATTTATATATACTAAGCGCCGCCTGGACTTAGTGAGAAATGTCTATATCTCTGAACTTGTTGAGATACAAAACCAAAAAGTTTCTTTCGAGAAAAATCTTCGTTAAAACTTGGTGAAGATTCACTCGATTATAAGCAAGAAACTTTGAGATGAGAAAATCAAAATCTTAGTAGTCTTTATTGAACAAAAATTGAATTTGTACTTTTGATTTAATCGTTTATATTGAAAAAAATTCAATTTGTATTTTTTATTTAATCGTTTATATTGATTTTAATCATTTCAAAACAATTTTAATAATAGTGAAAATTTAAACAGAAGAATGACTGAAAGACATTGAAGATAGACTAAATAGAATACGAGATGAGTTCTTATGCAAAATGTACAACGACGTAATTCGAATTCATTTAATCAATTATACGAAAAAAAATCTTTTGTTTATTTATAGTAAAAGATCAATTGTATTTAACAAATTTCTTTACTACATCATGTTTGTTTTACAAATTTCTATTCTTGAATGATAAATGTTTATGATAAATATCATAATAATGTTGTTGATATTAATCATCATTTTCATTTATTTTTTTAAGTACTTCCCGAAACAGGTCCTTGCTAAAATAAGATATTGTTTAGTTTATAATTTAAATCAAATAAAACAAGATTAATTCCTACATTGTGGATCTGAATAAATTAGCTGAAACTTGATTTTGTTCAGTTGCTTGTTTTTTTTCGGGATTTTCGGTAGTGTTGATATACTGTGCACAGTCCTATCAATTATATGAACGTTCACTGCTTCAACACCACGTTTAGCTGGAAAACAGTGAAGCATAGTTATTTTTGCTACAGTTAACGTAAAACAACTTACTTCGAATAATATCAAACTTACATAAGTCTGATACGAAGAATCTCTTATCACGAATATTACCAACAATAGACGCTTCTCGAACAAATAAATCACGATATTCTGGTTTGTCTCGTCTGGATAATATATAAAATTAAATTAAATATAAACTTAGTTGATATTAATATACCTTTTGATAAAGGCATAGTGCTTTGTTCTATTGACTACGACCACAGAACCTTTAACTCCTTTCTCTGAAAATAGAAAGATGTTTCTTCTTAATTCTTGAGTTTCAAAAATTTATTACCGAGAACAATTGGTCGATCATCACCATTAACAACTGGTCGTTCATCGCCACCAACAACTGGTCGATTATCACCACCAACAACTGTTCCATTGTCGCCGAAAATGACTGATTCAGAAACTGCTGAATCTTCCTTTGTTGTAGCCATTGATTGCTTAGATTTTTTTTAATCTAAAATCTTAATAAATTAGATACAAAGAAATGTTTAATTTCATGCTGCTTTTTTTTGTTGTTATAATAAATTTGAATAATTTTATTTAACCAAATTTTTTATCATAAGTAGTTTTTGTATTTAAACATGATGAGAATCGAAAAACCGGACTAACTAAATCTGCTAATGACCAATTTCAAATCTTGAGTGTGCAGTTGATTCTGTTTTTGAGCAAAAAATTGATTACAAGAAATTATTTTTCTGATTGAATGAAACAATGATTAATTAGAAATTGCGATATTTATATGTTTCTTTTCGATGTTTATCAATGGATTAAGGGCCCCCCTTTAGAAAACCCAATTTTTCGAAAAAAAATCGAAATTGAGTTTTTTACACAGGAAGATGCGCCAAAGATTCCTCTTTCCGAATATAGGTAGCTTTTTGCAAAACGATCAGATTTTCACGGACTTATCGATAAAAAACTGGACCCCCTACTATCATATTTTACAAAAAATTTTCGTAATTTTTCAAAATTTTTTGATTTTCTTCGAATCTTCTGCTATCTTTTGTAAACGATGTAACATTTTTTTTTTGAGAAGTGATTCACGTCTTCTACTTTATTGATTGATACATTTTTATATGGAGGATTGTTAGTTAGTTTTGGAAAAACTTTAGAATCGCCGTCTCCTACATAACTACAACGAAATATTTTACAAAAAATAAAACAATATAGTTTTATTTACTTTATATATTGAACGTTGTACATTCTCTCGAATCGTGAAAACAAATAATATATTCCTTCTGCTTCCATAGAACCTAAAAAGCATATAGTTAAAATAGAAACTGCTGGACGGAATAATACCTGATAAGCCTGAATGAGTTATTTCACATTTGTTTATTTTCAATTTCTTCATATTTTGTTGGATTTGAACGTTTGATACTAAGTGCACCTGTACAAATGAAACAACTTTTAGATAATCTCTCCAAATCCAGCACCTATAAAACTTGAATGTTAATATATAGAAATATTTTCATCTAATATGTACTTTTGCACTGGAACAGGTTGACATTATTGCAACAACTCCATGTAAACTAGAAAAGCCGCGTTTTTACCAGGTCCCGTCTCCGCTTACAGTAAGTTTACGTTTATTTGATTCACCACATGCTTCTTCTATAGCATTTTTCATTGAATTGAGCTTGTGTGATTCAAATACCGGAAGTATACGTGTAATAGTGCGAGAAAAATGATCATCATCAATAGGAGGTGGTACATTCAAAACACCACAAAGTTTTACAAGACCTTGATGACCTACCCTAGTCAAACATCTTGTAAGCAAGATCTTGGGCTAGATACAAGGTACAGAAATGTTAACAGATCTTGAAAATTTAGGTACAAGATAATCATATTATCTTGTATCAAGATCTTGAATCAGATCTTGGGTCCAGATAAGTAAGATCGTTTTTACAGATATTTAGGATATTGGGCACAGATTAATAAGATCTTACGAATGGATTCATTAGATCTTGGGCACATATTACGATAAAATCTGTTTCGTAGGTCGTGGTTTGTGATACAATACATGATTTATTCTGAAACTGTGACTCGAACCTATCATAAAGCGAATTTCTTTTTCTGTAAAATCATATTATCACACTTTTTCAATTTATTTTCATTTGAATTATTCCTATCTCAAATAATTGAAGCAAGTCAGACCTTGGAATCTGACTGAGCTTGAGATGGCTCGATCTCCATTGGAGTGCTTCAAGGCAGTCCTCCCTCGATGATTGATCGAGATCAGTATGTTCTCAAATAATTAACATTTGAGAAATAGTTTTTAAAAAATTTATTTTGAAAATGTATGCTTCACATGTTCAAACACGTTGTTTATATACGGCTATGTATGCATAAAAAGAACGGTGAATGACTAGTCAGCACATAAATACTAATGATATCGTTCTTTTACTCAAGATCTTGTGAGAAGATAATAGTAAGTGATGTCTCTTCTATGATCTTGACAAGATCCTTAGTGCAGATTTATCCGATATAACCAAGATATTCACATACATATGGTCTTTTTCAAATCTTTTCAAGATCTTGCTTATCGGTCCCAAGATTTCAAGATCTTGCTTATCGGTCCCAAGATTTCAAGATCTTGCTTACAAGATGTTTCACTAGGGTATCCCGACAAAATTTGCACCTAAATAACAGATCAATTTATGTGTTACCATGCTACTAAAATCAACTTACCAATTGCACTTCGAATATTAATATCTCGTTGAGGAGTTTTTGGACATTGTTTAGATGTATTGATTTTAATTTCGTTCGAGCAGTGACATGTAAACACCAGAGAACAATATAATCCTAAAATATATATGTAATTATTAAGTTTTACGCGAGAAAAGATAACATAAACAGTACCTTCCCGTTGTGTAACAGACATATCACCATCCCATATTGATTTACATGAGATACAAATACTTTATTTCATTAATTCCAATAAAAACGAATTGTGAATTATCTGATACAAATCATTTGTATCTTCAACAACATCTGTATTTTCTTGTTCAAGAAAATTTGACAATTTTTGATATGATGGACCAGCAAATTGACGTTCTTTATACGTGAAATGTTCATTACCAGTTGGTTGATCTATATAGGAAATAAGATCATTTTGTAGTTGACGCGTCTTTTTCATAACATTTTTAATGACTTTCTTCGATGTAGATGTGTTTTGAGTCAACCGGAACTTTCTTTGCTTTTTCACAATTGATGGGCGTGTCATTGAAGAAGATATAAGCACAAAATAATATCAAAATCTAGAAAATAAGAATTCATAATGACTTGTGCCTCAGTGAGCATAAATATAGCGTTATCTGTGATTTTTCTTTAGCGTCTTACTCATCTTTTTCGAAAAAAGTTTCAACTTGTTTAACTTATCGAAAAAATGGTATGAATCATCTCATCCAGAAAATATACAGATACAACAATTCATTCGTGCGTCACGTAAACTAGAGAAAAAAGAACACTCCCAGGATATGATAGATGGCATTAGCACACATCATTTGTTGCATTCTTGAAAAATACCTATTATCATATATTGAAAATGTGCCATTTTATTGCGATTTTTTTCGAAATTTCGACGAAAAATTATTTTCCAAACTTATTTATCGTTTTTCTCAAAACATGGTTTCTAGACAGGAAAATCGAAATAACTCCCACTCGGCTCGGCATATCACCCATGATTGTTTTTTGTTTTAAAGGTCTTAATTAGAGCTAACTTTTTATCGGACGGATTTCTGATATTGAACCCCAGGGCTGAGAAAAGTGGAATTTACTGTCGTCGAACCACACTTTTTTATGCTTATTTTGCAGGCATGCCTACAAAATCGCTCGTAAAAAATGAATGGAAGGGACTTTCAAAATTCCGTCCGATGAAAAGTTGCGTACAGAGGCTAGCTACAATTTGAAATCAACCCAAGCTCTGTATCCCTTCTCTGGACGGAGTTATTTCGATTCTTCTGAAAGGTAGGAAAACCAATCAAAACTGCGATTTAGTCGGACATGTGAAGCTGAAATTTTTATCATAAGCGTTTCTCACTAAGACCAATTATCCCTGAAAATTTCAGCCCAAACGAAGGGTCCCAAGTGGGACTTCATTTCTAAAGGGGGGGCCCCCCTTTATACCAGCCAATCGAATGAGAGTATTCCGAGATGAAATCGTCCTCAAGAACAGGGACACTAGTGAGCAAAATATCCTCAAAATTTCAACTGAAAAACTTTTTCTTCCCGAGATATTATAAACCGAAATCTAAATAATATCTCACACGAAACCTAGAATGTTCTGCTTTTTCTGGATTTTAAGGTGAAAGAAAGGTAAGATTCTTTTAGCTGAAATTTTCAAGATATTTTAGTCACAAGTGGGCTCATTCGTAGGCAAAATCTCAGGCCGAAATTTTCTCTTTCGATTTTTTGGTATGTAACGCACCATCGGCTAATATTGTAGTGAAATACTCATAACTCTGAAGAGAAGGTTTAACAGCGTTTTTCATGTTCACATTCGAAATCGGCATAGTCGATAGTCTAAAACCCAGTAGGTTTCATCTAAAAAGCGATTGAACAGTTCAAAATATTCCTTTGTCAGATTTTTGTGAGGATATAGGTTCTGAAAGGATCTGCCTCCCGCAAGACTCGTTTTTGATGCAACAAAGAGGGGTAGATCGAGTGACCAAATACATGCAGGCTGCAGAAAATCATTCTAGCAATAAAATATATGACATCTTTCCACGTTTAGAACACTCACCTTCGTCTCTTCACTTTGCAGAAGATTGCGATCGCCGTCAAATGAAAAACAAAAGCGACTGGTGGGTTATTTGCGCCGGATAAAACATGATTATTTTCTTTCTCTTTCCCATTATTTATCTGAGAAATAAATTCGATTTTTCCAACAAAACCAGAGCTTATCAACATTTAAATGGATTCTTAGTTTTCAGTCAATATTCGGATGAGTGAAATTATAAAGGTTTCATGCAACAACAAAGCAAAATTCAGTTTGCAGGAATTTGTAATTAACAAAGCACATTAAGGTGTCTTATTCAGGACTATTGAATTTCTTGCGCGCAAATCACTGTAAGCCTAGTGTCGGGTGGGTGTCTGCAAGGTGTGGGTGTGGGTGTGGGTGTGTGGATGTGGGTGTGGGTGTGCGTGTGGGTGTGCGTGTGGGTGGGCGTGGGTGTGGGTGTGGGTGTGGGTGGGCGTGGGTGTGGGTTTGGGTGTAGGTGTAGGTGTGAATCTTGTGCACTCGAATAAAGACACCAACATCCAGCCACACCCCACACCAACACCACCCACACTCCCCACACCCACATCCACACAGCCACACCCACAGCCGCACCGACACCCCACACCCCACACCCCATACCCCATACCCCACTCACACCCGACACCAACACCCACATCCATTCGGGATGCTGATGCTTAGGGCGTATGTGAGTGTGGATGTTGGTGGCTGGGTGTAGGTACGTCGTGTGGGTGTGGCGGGTGTAGATATGGTGACTAACGAAGACAAAGATACACCCACATTCACCCACCGACCCACACCCACATCTCACCGACACCCACACTCACACACCGAGATCCGATTCGGCGAATGATGTTCGACATGTGATGTATAGTTACTTCATTGTGCTACATGAATTTATAATATTGTTATTCGAAAGCAATTAAGGACAGCATTGAATCCTACAGTGAACGAGACAGCGAAAAATATTGATTTAAATGGAGTGTTTGCCTCCTATGTGCTCTAGCTCTTTACGCATGGTAAGC